CAAGGCCAAATCTAGGTCAATGGCAGAATTTGAAGAAAACAGATGCCTATCAAATTGAACTGGTTTTGCTTAGCTTTACAGAACTGCCCTTTGCTCCCTGGAATGGGATTGCCTCTTTTGAAAACTTTCTTCCCTTGTACCAGTGTGTTGGGGTCTGTCTGAGCTGGAGTCACCTTTTCCCTGCAGCAGCACCACCACAACCAGACACCAGCCTGACCAGACGTAGCAGTTCGAGAGATTTTCTATGTGTAACCTGTAAAACTGGCTGGTGAAAGTGTTCACCGCTTTTCTCACAGAGAACTTTGATTTGGTCAACATTTTAAAGTTTTTCTCTTTGTTTTCCCTCTACCTTCAGAAAGCTATTGAGATGGAGTAATGAGCTTGAGAGGGAATATTTTAACCAATATATCAAATATTTTAATCAATATATCAAATATATCAAATATATTTGATATATTGGATACATCATTTGAGTCCCTGGATTCTTTGTTTTATGGTAGAGGTTTTACGCTCAGAAAAACAAACAAACAAAAATATTAAAGGAAAATAAAAATAACACTATATAACTTTGCTAGGGGAAAAAGTGAAAGGGCTTCACTCTTTTTACACATGGTAACAAGAATAGTGTATTTAAACATATTAAACTACAATACCATGTGTCATTAAAAAAAAGCATATCCCAGACCTCATAACCTATATAACCTGCATATCAAGTATCTCTTAAACTTGACGTATTGAGTAATAAAGCTTTATCTTAAAAAAATAAGACTTCAATGCAATTAATATAACTAATCAAATTACTCCACCTGTTGTGTTCCCTCCCCCCTCCCCCCTTTCTTGGTACTTTATCATGCATACTAAGAGGAAGCACCTGGTGTAAAAGAAAAGAACAACAAACATGCACATGGTTTAGAAACAAGCAGTCTCAACAGTCTGAGGTAGGGCATCAAAGGAGATCAGTGTGAAACTCTTCTGCTTGCAGATTGCTCAGTGTCTAGGAGGTAAATTAAACAAGTACTACACTGAGACAGCCAGCTTCAGAATTTCACACCTCTCTCATCAGGGAGAGCCAGAAAACTTTCTGTCAATGTTATCAGGAGTAAGGCTGCACAGGGTGTGAGATCTCTGAACATCAACCATATAAGGAGAAGAAAAAACAAAATTCTCTTCAGAATCAGTGTAGAAACCATCTGATTTGTTGATTGACGCATGCTTACCAGAGCAATTTTGCTTGAACTAACTGTGTTGAGTTCACTTTAAACACAGAGAACAAGTTTGTTTCTTACAATTATCAAATGAACCACTGCAAAACACATTACAGAATCCACTTAAGATGATAATCAAAGGTAAGATTTTTCATAAATTTACTATACACCAAGACTTGGTCATTATTAACAGATGCCTTTGTAGTTCAAGCAAAACATTAAACTGTAGATTGAGTGCTTTATCATCACTACATCTGTTTTGAATTTCTGACTGTGAAAATCAATATACTGTGGCAAATTTACAGTTCTCAAAGTTCCTCAGAGTTGGATATCAGAGGTAGCAATTGATTTTGGTTCCTTGGTGTTTACTGACAGCATACCCGAAATACAGCAAGGACATGAAATAGGCAAATGATCCAACACGTTTCCTTCTTATACTTCTTGAGCAATCTCTTTACATGGCAGGGCAGTGGGTTTTTATCTTTCATACAAGTCACAAGCTTGCTTTCCAGCACCCCACCATATGATGTGACCTGAGGTACAGAAAACCAGGCTCTGTGGTCTTGCTGAATTTGGTAGTTCTAGAATAGCTGAGGCAGTGACCGAAAGACTTCTTCCCAACACCACGGGCCTGAACAATCAACACAGAAGGTAAGAGCCAGTTTTGACAGCTATCAAGAAGGTTCAGAGATTTAGGGATGCATATATATGCTGAACAGAATTCTCCAAGGGAGACAGCCAGAACAGACAGTGGCAAGGAACTGTTCTAATGAAACACTTGAACACACCTTCTGACATTAGAAAAAAAAAGCCCATGGCTCTTTGCAGCTGTGCCGAATTAAGATAGATCAACTACAACTCAGAAAAAAGATCAACAAAACTTTGTTCACCCACTCTTTTAATTCTACATTCAATTCTCAGAGAAGGTAACAAAATTTGTGACATGAAGAACAGGACATTATTTTCTTTTCTGTTTTTCCCAGATACATTTAAATAAGTTTAAACCCAAGTATTACCACCAAGAACAAAGTTAAACAAAATCAATAGTTGTACATTTACTGCAGGACTCAGTAGACTCAGTAGCCTAAAACCATCCAAAGTAAAAGAGAAATAGGAGAAATTGCTGTGTTCTTTAAATAGTAGAGAAAGGTGAGGGCTTTGTAAGTATTTTTCTCATTACCTAAGTCAAATAGACCACTTTTCAAAGCATTCAATTAATTTCAAATTTCTCCTCATTATTCATGAAAGCATCATTATAGCCTGGCATTTTTATAAATCAAGAAGATAACATTTTGAAAGAAGCATCACAGCATGGGAAGCCATCTTGCCTTTCACAAATCTGCAAATTTGAAAGCATCTTGGTCTCGTAATAGGAATTTGATGAAATAATTGGTTTCTGGCTATTTCTAATTTGCCGTCAAATATCCAAATTTACTGAAAGCAAAACAAAGCATGATGTCAACTCAAAAAAAAAAAAAAAAAAGAAGAACAAATTAAAAATACACACAGTAATTGCTGTACTACAGGGCATTTTCTGTACAACCAAGAATTACAGTTTGTTTACAGTATCTTCACTAACATTTCACTATTCATGATGTAGCTACCTGGAGAACTGGACTATCTGTTCAGGAGCCAGTATGGTGTCTGTGCAGAAAATCTGACTGGAATGTGTTCAAAACAAGCTGCCTAAGATGATCACCTTCTTTGGTACTATATTTTGGGGAATTGAAACATTACAAACAGCCTGAAGTTACAAGTAATGAATTTTAGAATGAGCTGATAGCCTTCTGCATTGCAGTTCTACTGCTAAGAGCAAGGAGAGGTCATTCAGCATTTTCACAGCAGTCTCTGCAAGCCTGCAGCACCACAATACTGGTGGGAAAACAGTTCTAATTTACAGCTATATTGAACAAAGACAAAAGAGCAACTTCAGCTTGAAAACTAAAAACAAGTATGGTACATATGGTTACAGCTGTCCTATTGCCTACAAGAACTGAATCAAGATTGACTGGTTACATGGAATACACGGGAGCACCTTAACCATATCTTTCCTGATTTTAGATCTGTGGCCTTATCATTTCTTGTGACACTACTGCTGTCTTTCTTGAGTAAAGGGAGATCTTGATCAGCATTGGCTGTTTTAAAGTTTGGGGTTTTGCTTTATTTTTGCACTCCGAAAGGATGAGAGAGGGACAGAAGATATTGCTACAGAAGTAGGTTCCCCCTTCGAAATATTTTACATCAATGAATGTTATTTTCATTGCAGAATTCAACATTCATGGAATGATAAGGAAAAATGAATTTAAAAGAGCTCAACTGTCTTTTTCCTTCTAGATCTGTTTTACATACTCAGTGCAAGACTCATGGACACCTGACTCTTGCTCATTCCTGAAGGACTTGTGCCCATGGCATAGACTGCTAGATCCTGAAGAATCTTCTCCTTTCTAAGGCCCCATGTGCCAGACAACTCACTGACTCAGATGTGTAAGACACATGATCCCAAAGTGGGAGAGAAGTTATGAAGAGTTCTTCTAACCAGATTTTGTGCCCAAAGAAAAACCTAAGCACAGGACACATGGTGCACAACAGTCTAAGCTTTGTGTACCTGCCATATCACACCTGCAGGATCTCCCACACTTGGTCAGAAAGAGTCAAAATATTTGACTAAATACATCTGTTAGGTACACATGACTTTGCTGGATCTGCACAAGGCAATTTTCTAGAAATGTAACCAAAAATCTTAAAGTGCCAAACACGGCTTGGGACTCACGCTATTGTTTTCACTGAAACCAAAACCGTTTTGTAAAACACTGCATAGAAAACAAAAGCATGTTTCCAGTTCTCTCTTCCTGCTGTTTTCTGTTCCCTCCAACATCCTCATGTACTTCCCTAAAGAAGAAGTCAACGAACTAGTAACTATATGAATTCTAGTCTGCATAAACCTTTTAGGGATAGCTGCTTATCTGTGCCACTGCAATGCAAAATACCTGCATTCCTCCAGCCAGAGCACAGAACTATCTGTTTACATCATCTGTCTGATGCAAAGGGCAATAAGTTTATACACTGTGGGATTGGACTGTAAACTGTTCTTTTTGGGTGGGGATGGGTAGAGGAAAGTTAGCAAAAGCTAGTAAGAAGAAACAACTTTTTTATATATGCTTTATTTTAAGATACGTGTGAATACACTTTCTGTACAATGCAGACACACAAATAAACAAGATATTATCACAAGGCAAACAGAATATCACATAATACGTGAAATACAAAGTGTCAACAGAGGCCTAGAAAGTATATACTAACTTTTAGTTAATATTTTGATGGTTCTCCTCTTTCTACCAAGGAGATTTTTAAAGTTGTATCTACTGAGACTGACAATTGTTGCCTTTGGAATCCTCTTATTTTACTTGTTTCCATACAGTTCCTTTCTTAATGATAAAGCCAACGACTGCCAAAATGGAAAGCTGTCAATAAGTAAAACATTAGTCAGCTCATTGGCTCTTTAAAAATGTCTGCAATTTCCTGCTTCTAAGGCTCATTTCATTCATTTCAAACATGACTGAGAAGCATTTTGTCAGCTATGCATCTGACACATGAAAACTTCATCCAACACAGCAAAATCCTCGTCTGGCTACATCTCATAGGACCCTCTTAAAAAAATGATTTCATTTTAAAATAACAACTACAAAAATAGCAATGGTGAAAGTGATCTGGTAAATATGTTAAGGTAGTAAATATAAATTATTATATAACACAGATTTCTGAAATGATCTTGCCTCTTCAATTTTCTGCTCTTACCTTGGTTGACTTGTCAGCACTATGTTCTCGTTTCCCTACATGGTTCCCCATGATCTACCACCAGAACTTCAAATTCTGAAAAGACAAAAACAAAACAGAAATTTTGAAACCAATACATTTATATTGAAATACAAATTAATTCTTCCTTGGACAGTACAGCGAAACAGCTCTCATACAATAAACATTTTTACAGTCCACAGTAAATTTTCCTTCTTAAAAAAGGAAGAGAAGGGAAAATAAAGCATTTGATTTGTACATAAGCCAAGACTAGGTCAGTATTTAGGCAGAAGCCCTATTTTTTGATATCATATTTACAATCCCAACTGTACAATATGTAGCAGCTGATTTGTAGCTGCAGATTTTTATAAGGGATCAAGTAAGTTCTTTAGAATTCACATTTGCCATTACATAAACAGCAATTACTGAAAAAAGCCAAGCACCACACCAAACTGCTAACAATTTGCTGTGGAGGTGAGAATGGATATGTTCTTTAAAGCACAGGCTTTCATGGCAAGCACATAGGAATGGAATGCCAACCTTTTCTTTGTATTTTCTGGCTTACTGTGGTGTATCTCAGCTTTAGCAGAGCTTATGTAGGTTAAACCACAACACTCAAATTTCAGCTTTTAGCTTGCATTTGTGGTTACACTACATATTTCGTCTCTTAGAAGCCTGTGTCTGTATAGTATCTTACACAGACACGGTTTGTCTTTGAGTTTTAGTACCTAAAGACGGTGCAAGGTAACATTTAAAGCCCCGAAACTTAAAACTACTTCCAAAAGAAGTTTCAAAGAGACTTTCTCTTCTCAGAATAATGAACTGGACTTTTGCTCATAATGTTGAATTTCTGACGAACAGTAATATTTGCTACTCTGCAACAAATATAATGCTACATACTATAAAACCTTGGCATCAGAAATATTTGCGCAATGCTCAAACAGTATCAGAAGGCTGTTACTTCATTAACAATATCTTCTGCAAAAGCTTGGCAGAGGAGCACAACAGACCTTTGCTATGACAGAAAACACGTGAAGTAAAACAACAGCCTATTACCTAGTTATACTCAAAAATAAAGACACGGTTATAAGCTCAGATACATGGACTGACCTGCATACCAAGGGATACGTATCTCCAACAGATAGAGACTTTGATTACTTCTGACTTTCCATCACAAATGTGCATTTTATTGAAAGCCACTCTGTCCTGCATTGCTACTGCAATTTCGGACGGACTGACAGATTTCTCCCCAGACACACATAATACATTTCAAATTAGCAAGGGTCTCCAGTGCTTATTCAATTATCCACCAAATTCCAGCCACTCAACACTCAAAATGACACATGTCACTATGTGATCAAATCACTCCCCATTAAATCTACTTCTGAGGTCTCACAGAGGAAAAATTAAAAACCATCCAAACTCATTAAGTGTACTCGATATAGAGTTTATTGCCAAATAATAGATTTTTTTAAGATGTATGTGTTGCATAAAAGATTGAAATACAGCTTTTGAAACTGTGAAATCAGCAAAACCAGTTTAAATTATTGTGACATTATGAAAATTTACAATTAAAAATCCCCCAAAAATGCACTTACAACCTTGATTTCAGAGCTGAACTACCTCAGAGCAGCCTTTCCCCTTTTCCCTGTGAAAGGCAGCTCATCTCTCATCGCCTACTTTGCGACCTAAGGAAAATACCAAGTGGAATACAAAACCAGAGGAAACATCTATCCTATCCAGGAACATACCGGCATGATGTTCCAAGTCATTTATAGAAACAGTAATAATGATAATAATATCAAACGCTCTGCAATGCACATACCTTTAAGTAAACAGGCAATGGAGCTGATGTAATACTTGCGGACTAGAACTTTGCTTGCTGCCCTGCCTCACCTTTCTCTCGCTTGTTTCTGTGGATTAAATCTCTAGGAATAACTGTCACATGCCCACGAAACACCCAGCACAGTGGGGCCCCACTCCTGCACTGCCATAGTGGAGAAAGATACTAGCTATAGACAAACCATATTCTGCACCATGGTGTGAAACTAAGCCAGATAAATATTTTAAATCCTTTGCCGGTGAGTGGAAAGAAAATCAGCAACAAGTTCCACACTGCCACAAGCTAGCTGTAGCAAATGATAAGGCCAGTTTTCTTCCCAAGTGTCTGCACAAAGTAAGCACAATGAAAAACCAGCAAACCAGTAAGATACAAATTCCTGTGTAGAGATAAAGATACTTCCCAGACAAAGGCACAAAAATATCTTAAGAGTAACAGAAATGGAGAAATCTGTAAGCGGTCCTTTGGGAAATAAAGGCTTTCAAAAATTTTGATGCCAATTGGAAGTGGAAGCCTATAATGCAAACTGTTCTGTATGTATTTGATGGGAAAGTAGCAACATGAAATTAGAGAGGACAACATGCAGATCTGCAATGATCAGAGCACAACACCAGCATACGCAAGCCTGGAAGCATTAAAATCACTTCCAGCAGCAAAGAGAAAGACCCGATTTTTCACTTTACATGTGAGCAGAAGTCTGCCGTACTTGATTAAAAACTGAGACCATGGGTCATTTTCACTTCGGGATGAAAGTACAGGCTGTTGTTAAGACTACCTATTTTGTGATTGCTGCTGTTCTGAGAAAGCCACCGTTTGTATGTGTGCTGATTTTTATGCGATGAGTTGAGTCACTGACTTCAATGGGATTACTCAGTGTACAATCTTTGTAGGAACTTGCAGCCAACTATTCAAGAAATCTGAGATGGAAGAGGATTTTCTTTTTTAGTCATTTTCGTAACGTTCAGGTTGCCAGACGAAGCAGCTCCGCATACAGCAAAGCAGCAGCTCCTAGCAGTTATCAACAAATGTCAGTCAACCCAGCTACATCCTTGTTTGCAGATGAGTCCATACGTGCCTTAGCACTGATAAACAGCCACAAGAACAGTCATAAAGCTCCAAAACAATGAGAAAATACAACTGCTGTAGAAATGCAGCAACCTCCATTGAATCAGATGTGAATCAGATCTAACAATAAGCTTCCAAAATAGGCCTGAGCATGAGATCAAGCTTATGACCACAACAGCACATGTCCTCAACTTTCCTAGTGAAATCCAGCAAGTTTTGTAATTCCTGCGAGATGAATGATTCTGCATATGACCTTAAGTCACAAAATGAGAGGGGACACGGGGAAGACCTGCAACAACCAGACCACAGCACCAGCTGCCCAGGCAGGCACTGCAAGCTCTACAAGCAGAGCTGCCCAACAGCCTCCACACCTCTCCCCCTGCCAGGAGCCAGCTGAAGCAGCTTTGCTGCCAAAACCCTAGCATAACCCAGTCACTGCCTGCTGCCGAAATCATTCCAGCTACCCAGGCTGCTTCAAGTGATTCCCCAAAACAGCACAGGGATCTTGCCTGGGGAAATAAAATAAACTGCCTTCTCCCACCACGTCACCTTCCTCGGGGAGTCAGTCTAACAGGTGGCCTGCAGGAAGCCTAGGCCAAGCCTTCTTCTCTGCTTTCTTCAGGATAGAAAGCTGTATTCCAGCTAGAAACAGTGGAAACACCACTTCAGGACAGAAACCTCTCTTTGCTATCTAAGTGTAAAATTAAAAGATGAACAAATACAGAAAGAGATGGGAAAACTCAGTCCCGCATATCACATATTCACAAAATAAATAAATAAATAAATAAATATATATAAATGCATGTATGTTTGATTAAAATTGATTCAATTGATTACAGATGGGTTTTGTAAACATATATCATCAGATATTTTTCTTTTTTAAACCCAATTCTAGCCTTCCTGTTGAAATTAAATAGATATTTGTACTTTGGACAAGGTTCTGAAAAGGTTATCTCCCCATACACACACACTGTCCTACATAGAGGTTTAAATCTCACTTCAGAATTTCCCCTGAAAGGCAGAAACATGTTCCTCTAAACTTTTTGAATATACCAAGAAACAGATTGGTATCTTTTTTTTGCAGGTTACGCTGGTTTAACTGCAAAGTACCTTTTTCTTACTCACTGAAAGGAACCTGAGAAAAGTCCACTACTTGTAATTGTCAGACTCTAAAGGGTGTACATCTCCTGTAATATCTCGCTGAACATCAGCTTTCTGTAATCTAAATAAAAACAATAAATTTCAGCCCACGAGCTTGTTTACAGTGACAGCTAACGAATCATAACAATTCAGGAAATACAAGAGGCTAGAATCCAATGCACCTGGTGCACTTTTATTGAACATTAATAGTTATTTAGCTTTAAAACATACAAACTATCTAATGGAAGTCACAGGATGCTGCAAATGGATTGTTAAATGTTATCCTTGAAGAGCAATTTAGTTATGTAAAATAAGGGTTCGATCTTACCTCTTCCCACGCACTTCAGTGTGACTCAACAGAACTACACCTAATAATACAGGTATGCGAGCGCTTACATATTTACAAGTATCAGCTCATAATTAGTACCTTGTCTAGGAACATGTATTCACCACACACTGATGCTGGTGAATAATGGTGCAGAGCTACAGTGCTAGATACATTTACCGAGTGCTCACAGTCTTACTCACGTATGGGAAGAGTCAGCATGGAACATAAAAATATTTCAGGAATTTACTTAAAACTTTCTGCTAGATTAATTGATATTCTCGTCTGAATAAAACTGGATTTTACTACTACATCCAGATCTTATTAGACAAAAGAAAGCAGCATAGTTACTGTTAAGAAATGTCCAAGTTCTGTCAAATTTTGGTAGCCCTCTGATGCAGACTCTTAATGACAAACTTCCCCAGCAGTGACACACAAATCTTTTTTTTCACCAGTGTCAAGTCCAGGTTATGTAGCTTCCTGGGAAGCAAGCTGACCTATTGCCCAGCTGCTAGCTAGAAATGTTGAGAGTGCTTTCTAGGCTCTCAGGGTGATGTGCATCTTTAGAAAGAAGCCCTTCACTTCAGCATCTTTTTAAAAATAGACAGACCCTGGGCACACCTAAACTGTTTCCATAGAATTCCCTCATCATGGTCATCTGGGACTCCCATGTACCAAGAAAGAAAACCTCTTGCAGCCTCAGGTGAG